TTGTAATTCATTTTATGGGTCATTTATTTTTATAATGTATAATAAAAAGAAGGAGTTCGGAACCACAAGTTAAAATTGCTCACGGAACGGATATAGTGAACTCCCGGTTATAGCGAACTGAAATTTCGGTCCCTTGAATGTTCACTATAGCGGGGTTTGACTGTATATGTTTATGATATGACACATGATCATAAATGAGGAGAGGAATATATAAAAGCATTCTTAAAACAGTCTTCTTTGAGCCTGGATTGTGGACATGGAAGTCGAGGCTTCACAATTTACATAATATAGGAAAATGTATATAATGAGCTACAATTTGTGTCAACAATTTTTGTATGTCTTTTTTAATACATTAAAAACTATTGAGCAATAAATGACAAAACTGTCACTATAATAAAAAATTGGAACTATGTCACACAAGACAACTCTTTACCAAGCAACGCCATTTTGGAAAAAGAATTAAGAGTCAGTTTCAGAAAAGATATTCACAGGAACCTATATTAAAATGCAATTGAATATACATCTTAAAATTCGCTATTTTGGAAAAAGAATTAAGAGTCACTCTCAGAAAAGATAATCACAGGAACCTATATTAAAATGCAATTGAATATAGATCTTAAAATTCGCTATTTTGGAAAAAGAATTAAGAGTCACTTCACTCTCTGAAAAGATAATCACAGGAACCTATATTAAAATGCAATTGAATATAGATCTTAAAATTCGCTATTTTGGAAAAAGAATTAAGAGTCACTCTCAGAAAAGATATTCACAGGAACCTATATAAAAATGCAATTGAATATATATCTTAAAAATCAAATTTAGCTATTGAGTTTAAGTTACTGTTAATATTTAGTTATTGACTTTATAAAACTTCAGATATAAATGAAATTTTAGTTGGATTCAAATATTTATATTTTATATTTCTCATTTTATGTAAAATAGGAATGAAAGTTAAATTATGACAAATTTTGATTTAGGTCTAACTTTAAGAAATTAGTTCCAATAAATAAGACGGTAGGATGACTTACTTAAAAATAGGCAATGATTCAAAACTAGGCAGAACTACATAATATATTTAAAATAAATATATATATATACACGGGTATATATGGAATTTAAAAAATAAGAATTTGATAATGGTTTCAAATTCAATTTTTTTCTTCTTTTTAAAATTTGACCTAAAAAAGTAACATAACGATGTTTTAAGCACTAAATTCAAATATAAGATTTGAGTAAATATCGAATAATTTTGGTTTTTCTTAAAGTTAAGCAAAAACATTTTAAAACAAAGAGTTTCTTTGTGAGAAAGTTTGAATTATTTGCTCATTTATCTAAAATTAAATCAATTTTATAAAACCAGTTTAGATTTCTTCCTTCATATCATCTATTATTGTACAAATTCAGTTGATCATATCATTATCTTAGACAACAAAATTTAACTTACTGACTTATATCTTATTTTTGTTCATTGCATAGATTAAAAGATAATTTAGAAAATAAAGAAAAAAAAATATTTTTATTACTTTTTTTTGACGGAAGGAAATAAATAAAGTTGACACCTTATTTGATTAACCTTTTTTTTCATTTAGCTTAAAAATATTTCTTATTTTTATACTTCAACAAATTAATTTAAACCTCAGAATCAACTTTTGAAATATTTCAATATATTCTTCAGTTAGAAATGTACATAGAAAATATTTAAGATCAATGCTTCAAAATAGATATGTAAATATCAGTAGAGCATTGCAATTTTTAGACAATAGCTTGTTGATAAGAAATAGGTTATGAAAAATTTTTAAAATTTATTTAACAACAATGCTAAGGATTATTTACTGAAATTTCATGTAAAAATATAGAAACATTGAAAAAATAACCGACCTATAACTTCATTAATGCTGAACAACTATATTACTTTCACAAGTGCTAAGAAAGAGTAGTGATATCTTCACTAGAATGTCTAATATCTTACAGTTAAAGATAACATTAGAATGTCAAGTTTAAAAAAAAAAAAGGTTTTCAAAAAGAGCATTCATGTTAAAATATGTTCAAACCTTTTCAACAAACAATATATATATATATATATAAATGTGTGTGTAAATATTATAAATACATATTTATTTGGTGACAGTATATAACAACAATTTTTAAACAAAGCTAAAGAAAATAATTTTAATAGTACAACTCATAGACAACACACAAACCTGTAACACATCATTTATGCTGAAATATATAATGACACAAAAACACACAAATGCTGCATTAAAAGTTAATAGTTTCAAGCTTACAAAAAGTTCAAACACTTTACAACTTACACAGAAAGCAGAGCTCATTCTAGGCAGAAAAAAGGGTAGGGTGCAAAAGTTTAAAAAAGGGGCATTATTATTCTAAAATGGCAATAATTTCTTTCTATGAGCTTTACACGTTCTATTAAAAAACATTGTCAATTAGTAAAAGAATTTTTTTTATTTTACTAAAAGTAGCAAAGCAATCATATTTATAAATTAACATATATATCGAGTTAATTAGCCAAGTAATTTATTTAAAACTCATGCATATAATAATAAAATAATAAATGTATGTTTTCAAGTGTCTGTAGTTATGATTTAATAATTAATAATAATTAAGATTTAATGATAGTGGAAGTAACTGCAAGCTTTCAAAGACAAGTGCAACAAAGGGGGGGGTGATGGCTATTTTTCCTTTCCCATATAAATCTATGTATTGACAGCAGGGCTGGGGTTTTTGCCAAGGCAGTGGCAAAAACCTGGTAAAAACCGGCAAAAACCAAATTATCTAAATTGCTGATTAAATATTATTACCAAATACTTGAAACAAATTTAAATCAATCATAAGGAATAATAATTTTGATACATTACATGAAAAAATAATTTTTAACATATTAATAATTAATATAAAGGCAATAATTTTTAAAATATTGAAAGGACCTCTTTTCATTTTAGAATCCTTAAATAAATGTTTTTTTACAAATAAATATTATTATTTGTATAATATTATTATTATTATTACATTGTAAAAAATTATTATTTGTACAATAATTAACTACACATCTTGATCGATATTTTATGCTTTAAATTATAGTTATATCAATTTAAAATAAGTTTATTTCACTGGAAAAAAGAGAATAATCGCAAATTTTTTCAATCAATAATGTTTTAAACTACTAAAATGAAATATTATTAAATTATGATTTAATTATGGAATAATAATTTTGTTAATTTTTTTGTAATTATTTATTTCTATAGTATATATTTCAATTTTAGGAATAATTTTGTTCCAAAAATGTGTTTTTGTCCTCTCATCTTGGAAAATATAGGGTTTTGCCACTTTTTGCCAATTTGCTTGGCAAAAACCTGTTTTTGCCAGGACGGTTTTTTCCACCTGCGGCAAAATCTTGCCAACCCTGATTGACAGTAATGACAAACTAAATAAAAAGAGTTGAAAATAACAAAAGTTTAAGAAATCCATTGTAGAGTTTGGGGAAAAAATAAAGAAGGGTATAGGAAAGAAAGGGTATGGAGTCTATTAGATCAGGGGCAACAGGGTGGATTCTTATGACTAAAAGGGCAGCAGGGTGCTGCGCCCTGTTTCCCCTGCCTAGAATGAGCGCTGCAGAAAGAAATGTGATATGTAACACTATTTATTGATATAACAAATATTCTGAGAAAAACAAAATAGTTCAATCAAAAGGAGTTCTATATCAAACTTTATTAAAATATTTCCAAAACAAGCATAGTCTACTGTAGTGACACACAATAAAATAAAATTTAGATATATATTTTGTTTCCTTCATGTAACCAACCACTTGACAATGAGATCAAGTAAGGTTCCACTGTAAAATATGTTTGTCAAAAAAGTAGAAAATGCAACCATCCTTTGTAACATTAAAATCAGGGGCTGTCTAGATTTTTACAAGAGGTTCCTATTTTGCGAAAATTTGGCCATAATTTGTTAAAATTAAAAATTGTATTAAAAAATCAATACAAAAGTATAGTAAAGTAAGAAGATAATTTCAAAAATTGTCACTAGAAATAAAAACCATTTATGACTGGTAAATTTTTATATATTTTTCCCCATATGTTAAAAAATAATTTTGCTATTGTAAAATTTTGGGCTTAAAATTGCATCTCATTTTGTTATTGTAAAATACAAATTTTATCTAATTTCGTTATTGCAAAAAAAAGAAAAAAGAATTGTATCTAATTTTGTTATTGTAAAATAATTTTGAATTGTAAAATTTTAGGCTAAATTTAAAATTCCATAAAAATCATCGTCCATTGTTAAATTTTAACTTGAATTTTAAAAAACTTGCACTAAAAGTCATATTAGAAATAAAAACCACTTATGACTGGTAAATTTTTATATATTTTCCCCCATATGTTCAAAAATAATTTCACTATTGTAAAATTTTGGGTTTAAAATTGCATCTAATTTTGTTATTGTAAAATAAAAATTGTATTTAATTTTGTTATTGCAAAAAAAAAAAATTTTTTTTTTAAATCTAATTTTGTTATTGCAAAATAAAAATTGTATCTAATTCTGCTACTGTAAAATAAAAATTGTATCTAATTTTGTTATTGTAAAATAATTTTCAATTGCAAAATTTTAGGCTAAATTTAAAAATCCATAAAAATCATCGTCCATTGTTAAATTTCAACTTGAATTTTCAAAAACAAGCATTTATCAGTACTTGCACTAAAAGTTATTTTCATTATGAGAACATTTCCCTGCGGTGTCATATAGAAAGAATCTTCACAGAGAAAAACATTTTTCATACAAATATAAAGGTCAGTTAGAATAAATTTAGAACAATGTTCGAATTTCAACTTCTCATAAAATTTTGCAGAGGTAGTACCTCGTCGTTTAATTTAAAAGAAAACTCTGCTAAAAAAAATCTCTATAATATGGCGTGAGCGATCGGCTAGGTTACCACACTATCTGACCAATCACGTGCTACTGATTTGCATATGCTCAATTAACCAGGGATTTATAGTTTATTGAGGGGATACAAAAACAAAATCAAGAGGCGGGAAAGAGAATCTTAGAATTTTCTCTTTTAAAAGAATTTTGTGAAACAACCGTTTTTCCCAAAGTTGAATTAGTGAAGGACTGTTGTAAATTTGCCTTGGACGGACCCCTGAAAATTTACACACTTCACTGTATGCCGCTCCCATATTCTTTACTTAAAATTTTTATAAATAACTTCCAAAGATAATACTCAATTATATTCAAACTCTATGAAAAATTAGAAATTAATAAAAAACAATTAAATATGAATACAGAGGCCTTCATTATCAAAACACAAAATTTATGTAGGACTATAAAAATTTCCTAATAATAATAAAATTTAAATAATTTTTGAGTTTGCTAATGCAGTAATGACATAAAAATTTGATAGCATAACATAAAACTAATTTTTCCCCATGTATGGCAAAGTCTGAGAAAACTTTTTTTCATTTTTATAAAGCAAACATATTTTATAGATGGCCCTTTATAACTTTATAAAAAGAAATAAATCTGTAACTGAATTAATATCACTAGATGTGTATATCATAAAATTTACAAAGTAAACATTAAAAAGTGGAAGAAAAAAAAGTTTATTTACATGTTTTATAAAAATGTTGGCACCAAAGTTCGTTGTTTTCATTTGAAGTTTTGAGGCACGACTCGAACTGCTGTGTACACCATTTGTTTCTTGGGCTGAAATAAAATATAACTCTAGAGTTTTGTTTAGAACAATATGTAGATTGTCTGCCATTCTTAGATTATTTTATTTCTTTAGTCAGAATTCTTTATCTAATTTTTAAACTAAAGAGTAATACACTCTATAACAAAAAAAATCGACGCACTAAGACGCGCAAAATCGACGCTCGGTCAGGCTGGAATGATGCCGACTGGGGACGTATAGTCTTTAGCGACGAATCCCGCTTCCAACTGTGTCCTGACGATCATCGAAGACGTGTTTGGAGACGCACAGGGCAGAGGGGCATCCTGCCTTCACTATTGCACGCCACACCGGACCTCAACAAGGCATTATGGTCTGGGGTGCCATTTACTTTGACAGC